GTGCGTGCGTGCGTGCGTGCGTGCGTGCGTGCGTGCGCGCGTGCGCGCGAGCGCGCGTGCGAGGGCGAGTGTGCGTGCGTGGGCGAGTGTGCGTGCGCGCGTGCATGCACGTGTGCGTGAGTGCGTGTGTGTGCGAGCATGTGCGTGTGCGGTGTGGTGTACATAGATCATAGTACCATCTATTTTGTTTTTTATATTAATAAATAATAATGTAAATATGTTATTGTTTCTTGCAGATAGCAGAGCGTTTGTATACTCAAGGTTACATTTCTTACCCTCGTACTGAAACCAGCAGTTACCCTGAAAATTTCGATCTTATGTAAGTCTGCATAAATAATGTTGTGTTCTTTCATGATCCAGATACATAGTGAAGAGGAAGTGACGAAGAGAGAGAAGACCTAACCTCAAGGCATAAACATAATTAACGAAACTAATTAAGTTCCAATTTAAAACCTTATTTTAATTTCAAACAGTTGTTAGCAGTGAAGTGAGAACCGTCACTGATCATCTGATTTAGTTATGTTATAGAACACAGTTGTCGTGTTTCTTTTTGAACATGAAATAGTGACACTAATAATGACTTTGATGATGATGATTTTTACTTTCATTGGGTTGATGTTGATAAAATGGGTTCTCTCTCTCAAAAACAAAAAGATAAACTGATACACTTATACGTACATACATATACATATAAGTACGACAACAAACCAAAACAAAGGTAATGTGGCACAATCTGTATTTCAAACAATGCAAAAACACAAAAACAAAACACGGTTTTTACTTTAAGTAAGCATATGACACTTATTATTAATTTATTAATTAGTATGAATAAAATAAAAATCTAAATATTAATAAAATAAATTGTATATCAGAAAATAACACCTACAATTATTGTTACAGTTGTGGTTATTGTATGGTTAACTTTAAATACGCCATTCTGATTACAATTTCTTTGTAATGGCTCATTTTTCACAATGATTTTGTCAATATCACGGTTGAAAAATAAAAAAACACTTATGTTGGTGTGACTATTTACGTTGGTTAGCCGGTGATCGATTGTGTGTTCGATGAGAATCTAAATACGCCATTATGTTGGTGTTGCCACAAACAGGAGTAGTTTTCATTTGAAAACCGAATGTCCGAAACAACTGACCAAAGTAATGTATTTACGTTATTGTTTAGTAACATAATTATGTTAGATATTGTATGTTTTCAGAGGGACATTACGGCAACAGCAGAACTCATCAAAATGGGGCTCAGAGGTTAGAGCAATGATCGCGAACGGAATCAATAAGCCAAAGAAAGGGCACGATGCTGGAGACCACCCTCCGATCACTCCAATGAAGCCTGCTTGTAAGTTGTATTAATACACTTAATTTAACCCAAAGACGCAGCGTGGCCAGACCACCCACAATGTGGACCAATGACCTGGTGAAGACTGCGGAAGTCCGCTGGATGTAAGTAACACGAGACTGGTCGTTGTGACGTTCTTAGTGGGAGCCCTATGTTCAGCAGTGAACGTGTTTCGGCTGAAATGATGATGATGACTTTCATTTATTGTTATCCAAATTCTGTAAACCAGTCTTGATTAATACTAAATTAAGTGTTATATTACGGAAAATGCACCTTAAAATTATTGAATAGCATCCTAATAAAATGTTTGAATACTTTTGAACATATAATTTTGTTGTTGAAAAAACTTACTGAATACGAAAAGTTGTACATAATATGTAATTGGCCTCATTAAGCGCAAAGTTGTATTGCTTTATTAATTTGTTTGTTTCTAAGAAAGAGTGAATGTATATAAATGTATATGTAGGTATGTAATATGATTATTTATTATTTAATAATAATATAATATAGGTTTATATTTATGTATTTAAATCATATTACTACATCTTCTCGGTTTCGTTTTTGTCTGCCTCAAAGGTTGTCTAGAAGAGGTCACACTTATCGATATCGGCCGCTATTGCCCACATTAATTCACACGTTTGCTTTAATAAGGTCACATGTGCTAAACGTCATCTTTACAGGAGAGGAGTAAAAGGGAGAGGATTTTAAAGATGCTTTGAACCAAATTGGTCGATACCTTTTTCGTGCTATAGAAGAGTTATCAAAATTTACAATACTTAATTGGTTTTATGTGGATTGTACAATTTTTATGATTTTATGTGATAGAATCACTTTCGACGTATGATCACTTGTGGCTTTATTATACCAAGGGTACGAATTGATTATGTACCATTCTTGTTCTTGTGTGTGAGCATCTGTCTACGTACATCTATCAACTTTGCTAAGATTAATTGTTATTATTGCTTTGTTAAGATTGCTCGACTCATGCTAATATGTACTAACATAGCAATACGCTCTTTATTTTCTCAGTAAAGTTCCTTTTGCGTCCAATGCTGGGTTTACTTTATGACAAGTAACATCTTATTCTATATGTTAATATCTTTTTCTACAGCGGAATCAGAGCTTGAAGGCGACATGTGGCGTATCTATGACTACGTGACGCGGCATTTCATAGCGACTTTGTCTCGCGACTGTCGATACCTATCTACTACAATTACCTTCCAAATCGGTTCCGAGACCTTTCACTACACTGGAAGCGTCTTAGTTGATGCTGGCTACACTGAAATCATGCATTGGCAGGTTTGTATCTATGTAATAATGTGGTTACTTATAAATATAATAATTTACACACAACACAAAGGCAGTCAACTGTGTACTCTAATAGAGGAGAATACGGTTATTTACAGGCCTACCGCTTAACTGAGTTGATTCCTGTAGGGTTAGCACGACAAGGCGCGACTAGCGCGAGAGCGACATAAAACGCGAGATACTACTATTCTCGCATAGAGATCGTGCCAGCCCTACCGAACTGCTACGCGGTGTGGGGTAGGAGTGATATATTACGTATCAGTTATATCGCGCGACATATGGGATATTTTCAACAATATTTTTCTGACAATATTCAATAACAAGCTGATTGAAAAAAAGTGCCCAATGGCTTGTCTATTCATTTCAATTATTATTTAATAGTTTTTTTTATTATCGTTTCACATAACAACAATTGACTAATTTGATAGGCAATTTTTTCAATCAACTTGCTATTGAATATCGTGAGAAAAATCTTGTTGAAATTATCCCGTGTGCAGCGCGACTAAACTACTACTGAACTGTAACTCCTCCCGCACCGCGCAACCATCTCAGGAACCGACTCAGTTACCGGTAGGTCTGTAATATGTGGTGTTTTTGTTTGCAGGCGTTCGGGAAAGATGAGTTCGTACCGATTCTGAATGTGGACGACGTGCTGCGAGCACACGATCACCGGCTGGTTGAATGTCAGACCAACCCGCCAGACTACCTTACTGAGTCCGAGGTTAGTAATTTATTTTAATACTACGAGTGTTGTGGCCTATGGTCTGAACCCTGTCCTTATGGAATAACCGTGAGATGACTTTATTGCATAAAAAGTAATCTTGTCAGGAAACTTATAAAAAATTAAGTCCTTGGGAAATTAAAAAGTTAAGGAAGCAGTAA